CTCGCGAGACAGCATTTGCTGTCTCGGCGGGCGAGACAGTGTTTGCTGTCTCGCTGGCCGAGACAGTGTTTGCTGTCTCGCCCAGCGAGACAGTAAATTTGCTGTCTCGCCCAGCGAGACAGTAAATACTGTCTCGGAAAATGCAGTTTCTCATTGTAACCGCTCTCCCACGTTTTAAACTCCGTTATTTTGGCAGTTATCCACGTGATTCTCGCCCACGACGTTTCCCACGTTCTTGAACAGTTAGTGGCCACGTGTAGGGCAGTTGCAAAGGTAGTTTTGACCATCTGAAAGCTGTCTCACGTGCGAGACAGTAAATTCTGTCTCGCACGGCGAGACAGCAAAGACTGTCTCGCGTGGGCGAGACAGTAAAAGTCTGTCTCGCCCGCGAGACAGTAAAGACTGTCTCGCACGGCGAGACAGTAAAGACTGTCTCGCGCGGCGAGACAGTCAAGTCTGTCTCGCACGGCGAGACAGTCAAGACTTGTGTTCTTCTGCCTTTTTGGATGATTTCCTCTTGAGCTGTATTTGGATATCTTTCAGCATTTTTTGACGCCTACAGATACCCCCTCCAAAGTATTCCAGACTCAATCTTTTATAGAGGAGTTCTGGGATGCTTTGGATAAGATAGATCTTACTTACGATCCTTTCAATGCTTGGTTGAGTAGATCGTGTAGAGGAACCCGTAGGTGGCTTCAACTTTTGATCTCTTTGTCTCTCAATCTATTCAGTGCTTTGTAGAATAGTTAAGATTCTTCCCGGCATCGCGTTTATCGCTTGTCCATTGTAGAGATCTTGAATTAAAGCTGGAACTTGTACTTGTGAAATCAGCTCTTGTCGTCAAGTTGACACTGCATATACCCGTTTAGGGGTAGTCAGGTTATTCTCAAGAATATTTTAACTGATATTCTCCAGAAACTTCCTGTTGAGGATAGGGAAACAGTTTAGACTCTTGTACCTATTTGGAGTATTCAGGTTATTCTTAAGAATATTCTGAGTGATATTCTCCAGAAACTTCCTGTTGAGATTAGGGAAATAGTTTAGACTCGTATACCTATTGGAGTATTCTGGTCTCTTGTTTGTTGGTAGAGATGAACCCGAAATCGGAGAGGAAGAATTTTATATTCTATCTCCTGGTCTCTTGTTTGTTGGTAGAGATGAACCCGATGATGGAGAGGAAGAATTTTATATTCTATCTCCTGGTCTCTTGTTTGTTGGTAGAGATGAACCCGATGATGGAGAGGAAGAATTTTATATTCTATCTCCTGGTCTCTTGTTTGTTGGTAGAGATGAACCCGATGATGGAGAGGAAGAATTTTATATTCTATCTCCTGGTCTCTTGTTTGTTGGTAGAGATGAACCCGATGATGGAGAGGAAGAATTTTATATTCTATCTCCTGGTCTCTTGTTTGTTGGTAGAGATGAACCCGATGATGGAGAGGAAGAATTTTATATTCTATCTCCTGGTCTCTTGTTTGTTGGTAGAGATGAACCCGATGATGGAGAGGAAGAATTTTATATTCTATCTCCTGGTCTCTTGTTTGTTGGTAGAGATGAACCCGATGATGGAGAGGAAGAATTTTATATTCTATCTCCTGGTCTCTTGTTTGTTGGTAGAGATGAACCCGATGATGGAGAGGAAGAATTTTATATTCTATCTCCTGGTCTCTTGTTTGTTGGTAGAGATGAACCCGATGATGGAGAGGAAGAATTTTATATTCTATCTCCTGGTCTCTTGTTTGTTGGTAGAGATGAACCCGATGATGGAGAGGAAGAATTTTATATTCTATCTCCTGGTCTAAAGGAAACTCGAAGTGGGATCTCCACTTAGAGAATCTGGATTGGTTTGAATAATCCTAACTGTCATAAGGTTTGGTTATTCAGTTCAAAAGTGGACCTTTCGTTCGTAAAATGAATCGAAAAGAGATTTTGGTTGTGGTCCTAACTGTAGTAAGGTTTGACCAAGCGGGGGTTTTGAGACGATCCTAACTGTTTAAAGGTTTGATCGTTCAATTTGTGGACCTCTCGTTCATGGAACGAATCGAGAGGAGATTTTGGCTTTGGTCCTAACTGTTTGAAGGTTTGACCAAAATAGGAATTCGAGACGATCCTAACTGTTTAAAGGTTTGATCGTTCAATTTGTGGACCTCTCGTTCATGGAAGGAATCGAGAGAGGATTTTAGTTTTGGTCCTAACTGTTTAAAGGTTTGACCAAATAGGAATTCGAGACGATCCTAACTGTTTAAAGGTTTGATCGTTCAATTTGTGGACCTCTCATTCATGGAACGAATCGAGAGGGGATTTTGGCTTTGGTCCTAACTGTTTAAAGGTTTGACCAAATGTGAGTTTTGTGAGGGAAGATTGATTTAAAGGAGTGATCAAATCTCATCTCAACAAAAGAGTATTCGGAAATCACCGTGGGGATGTAGTGTTTATCACATTGTTTGTAATGATCGGGTTATCCCTAAGAAAATTACATATAGCATTCTTTCGAGAACTTCCCGTTACATGAACCATCCACCCCCAGCTTCCTTTGTGAAACTGGGTCTATCATTATATTCAGCTGCATGATCAGGTTATCCTTAAGAGTACTATGCATGGTGCTCTCCAGGAATTTCCCGTGAAAGAAAGGAAATAGTTTAGACTCATATACCTGTTGGAGTATCGAGGAGCAGTTTATACTCGTATACTCTTTGGAGTGTGAGGAAACAGTTTATACTCGTGTACCCAATGGATTTGGGGAAACAGTTTATACTCGTGTATCCAATGGAGTATGAGTCGTCTTTACTTGGCTTGTTTCACCATTATGACACCGGAGTCAATTAATGCTTGGATTTTATTTTTGAGTCCGAAGAAAATCTCAGTGGGATGAAGAACCCTTCTGTGGTACGCACAGTAGTTTGGATCCGTAATTCTCTTAGCTCCCTCCTGATCTTTAATAGGTGGTAGCTCGATTTTGTCATTGGCGATGAGGTATTCCAAGATGGCTGGAGCTTCATCATCTTCGAAAGAATACTCCTTTTGAAACCTCGGATCGGGAGTTGCGTTCTCAGTGATTGCAGATGTCGTCGGTTGGCTTCTCTCAGCTTTCTTTCTTTTAAGAAAGTGTTCAGCTTGTTCACCGCGCATTTTCAAATCTTTCCAAGTTTTGGATGGTACGACCCCCAGAGCTTCCAGGACATCGATAGAGAGATTATTGTGGCATGTTTGCAGAATGAACTCCTCTGTAACAGGATCTCTGCAATTCATTGCCTTGTTACGGAAGCGTTTGACAAAACTGTCGACTAACTCCTCGTCTTTTTGTTTTTCATCCAGAAGGGTTCCGATTGACACTTCGGTGTCATCATCGAAGAAGTTGCTGAGGAACAAATTTTCTATGTCATCCCAGCAATTGATGCTCCCTGGCTTGAGCCGTCGGTACCAATCGAAGGCGGGCCCGCGAAGGGTGCCAACGAATGACCGGACTATTAAAGCCTCGTTTCCAGAGATCATGCCCAAATGAGACTTGAAATAAATCAAGTGCTGAATAGGCGAGTTCTTCCCGTCAAACGGTGTGAAGTTAATCATGTTGAATTTTGCCGGGTACGGTATTGAATTCCATTCTCTTGGATAGGGACATGGAATACCCGTCTTTTTCACTTCTTGAGCCGTCATCAAAGCGTTGATTTTGTTTTCAAGCTCTTTCATTTTCTCGTCATCGTCTATGTCTTCATTTGAAGGACGTTGAGGAGAATGAGTTAGACCACCCCCTGTAAGAGGTGCCATTGAACCACCCCCAATATTGTTATTGGGAGGGTGTGTTAAACCACCCCAGCGTTATTGCTATTGGGAGGTGTATAA